TTATTTTTTGTTATTTGAATTATCAAAATTAATTACTATGTGTCTCAGAGTTTGAAGAATAAGATCATTTTTAGAAGTAATGTGTGGACTCTTTTGTTTTCTGTGTACAGAAGTTCTGATTAGTTTTATTGGACTATTTTTGGCAATAAGGTATCCTGGTTTTCCGTTGCCATGTTTTTCTTGGAGACATATGATCTTTAAATTGTCTTTATGCATCCTGTCTTTGAGGTTAATGACTTTTATTTATAATAGAGAGCATGAATTCTATTAGCATTATTTCCTTTTGCACCTTTTCTTCTGAATGGACCTTCACTTCAGAGTCCTTCATTTCCTCACTTAAATCCAATGGACTTGCAAGTCATGGTATAACCTTCCTGATGTCAAGGTCCTCTTTGACAGTGAAAGACAAATGCCGAATCTGTTTTTCTCTTTCACTCTCATTGGTGCTTAAGTTGTTTTATTCTGCTAAGTATTTTTGCTGTGCAGGCCATACATTCTGACAAATGTTCCCTTCTAACTTCTATTAATCTTTTAATTTCTTTTTTGAACTATTCTGGAATCTTTTACTTTTGCTCTGCACTCTTTTAGCATTCTGTAGGATTCTGTGTTTCATTGAACATTGGCTCACTTTTCTTTTCTAGTATTATTCATTTAGAGGACATTGTAATCTTTTAGATGTGATGCGGTTTAGGAGTTCAGGGGTCCTGGGACCCCAAAATCATAATACGTGGGTCCTGCCCAAAAGAATTTGACCCAACCCTCCTTTCAGCCAAAGACAAGGTTGATTAGAATATCTGCCATATTGGGCAGACTCTTAAAGAGTCTGAACATTGGTAAGCAGTGGCTAGATTTTAGGAATCTGAGCATCTTAAGGGAGACAAAGTGGACCTTATATACAGAAAGACTGTGGGAGGGACCTAGCAGTGGCCAGTAAACTGGGGTGAGCAGAACTCCTGGGACCTGGACCTTGTGGCCAAGGGATAATGGAGCCTAGCTAGGATTAAAGGTGGGAAATGGCCAGGGACCATAGGGAGGTAAGACAATGGAGGGAAGATTGGGTGTAGCCACAGTGAAAGGCCATTGTTGAGATTTATAGCCTCAGGCAAACGCCAGAGATTTGGCCATGTGGGAAAGTCCAGGGTTTTTCCTTTCTGGGGTCTAGATCCGAAGCCCATCAGATGTTTTAGTATTCATGCTTTTAATTTTAATATTCTCTCTCTTGATTTGTCTGTGTTAGAAATAGGCTTGACACCAAAAATTTAGTATCAAGAAAATTTATTATAAAGAAAGTCCAGAGGATTTAGACGTTTCTGGCCAGAAGCGGGCTCCACCCCTTTCAGGAGGGGTGGTCCCTGAGTGCAAGGGAAAGTGTGCTTTTATGCAGTTGAAAAGGGGGCGGGAAACCTCCCAGGCCGGGATTGGTCCAACCCTTCCCAGATTACACCTTTCCTTACATGTTTCCCCTTGATATGCTCAAGTATGTTCCCCCTCCCTTGGTCATATGTCCCATGACTCGTTAATGAGGCTCTAATTTTATGCGGGGTGTGTCAGGTGCACCAATGCTTTTCAGGTGTCCTCAGGTTGACCCTAACTGGTCTGAGCTGGCTCGACCCCTATCTTGATTTTGGTGTCTTCTTGGAACAATCCACTTACTTCCTATTGGTCAAGCCCTTCTTTTATTCTAGGCTTTTAATTGAATTTTCTTTCTTGAGCTTTTGGGTGGTTTTAGTTTTTTTTTAGTTTTTTTTTCTTATATTATTTTCTCACTCTGTTTCTGACTCCTTCCCTTTTCATCAACCTCTGACTGTGCTCCAAGTTTCTGGGAAGTCAACACTGTTCTCAGCTGAATTCTAGTTCCTTTTCCTTCAGGCCTAGCATAGACATTTATCTGGCTCTTTGCCCCAGTTCTTTCCATTCTTTAGTTCTCTGATTGTCCTTAATGATTATCTTCAGCTTTTTGTATGATTAGGGGAGAGTGAGGTGGTTTTTGTAGCCTTATGTTTTTTTTTTTTACCTATTATCTGCCCCAGGTAGAAGGAAGCTCATCTCTGTCTTTTCCTATTCCTTCTTCACTTCACACAGTTAGGCAGAGTCAAAGTCTACTGCTTATTGCAGTAGTATAGTGGAGGAAACACAGTGTTAGGTCAACAAGCCTTTATTAAGTACTGGCTATATGCCAGGAACTGTGATAAGTGCCAAGAATATAGATACAAGCAATTGCTTTCAAAGAGCTTCATTCTTGTGGGGGAAGGCAATACATAAAGCTAAACAAGGGGTTGGAAGGAAAGTTGGGGCATGATGGAAGAAGAATTCTAGAGAGTCAAGAGAGGAATTCCATATAAGAATGGAGTGAACATGACTAGTCTGGTGAAGAGTGATCTTTCACGGTAAGAAGACTATAGGGTTATGGTAGAAAAAGAAGTCTAGAGAGTTAAAATTGACATTTAGAGAAGAATGAGGGAATGAACACAAATGTTCCTGTAGACTCTGTAGCAAGAGGGGAATGCAAAGCATAAGCCATGGGACAGTTTGTGCTGATATGGATTATTCACCCTACAATAGACTGAAGACTGGTGGTGGAGGTATTATCTATATCAACATCACAAATTCAATGAAACCATTGTTGAATCAGGAAGAAGCTTTATTAACGACCTGGGAAGGCCAGATGTCCTGCATGTGTGAGAGGTCATGTGTCGACAGATGCACACCTTTTCATTTCCTATTCCCTATTTCAATTTCCTTCCCCTGTTTCCCCATTCGCTGGGCACTATAGAGGTTACAGCCTATCTGAAGCGCCTAATTCCCCACATGAGTCTCTGGCCCTAATTACATCTCCCACTTCCCACAATTCAGTGACCAAGACCCTTACTTGGGAACACCCCTTTTCATGTCAATCTATACTTAACCTCAGAACTGGTTTTCCTCCTGTTAGTCTATTTACCACCAAGAGTGTTTTCTTATTCTGATATAAGTCCTTTTGTTCAACTTCACCTAGCCCCCAGACTGCATTCCTTTCCACTTGACTTTTGTGGAAATAAACACCCCCCCCAACTATTTTTTATATTCTTTCCCCATTTAAACTGACTCCAAAGCTGTCATGCAGGGACCTAACCTGTGATTGAGTGATATGCAGAAGCAACATCCATGTATTCCACAGAGGGTTGTTCAGAAGTCTGTTACCTTGTTGGGCCTCTTGCTTTATTTCTTCCATGAATTCAGCTGTAATTGCTGTACCTCTGACACAATTTTTTTTCTTCCTGAGAGTTAGTATGGATTGTAGAAAATGTCTAGTCCTCTATTTTATTGTTCACATGACCCAGAAGTCCCTGAGATCAGACCTTTTGAGGAGAAGAGGATCTCCTGATACAGCACGGCTCTTGGAGAAAGAAGAGTATTATCTAAATGTTTTGCATAGCATCTTGCTTGGAGAGCAGTAAATAAATTATTGAGATATTACAGGTCCAGTGGGAAAGAGATTGTTAGTTTTAGTAGCTGTGTGTGCGTGTGTATATGTATATATGTGTGTGTCTGCTCCCGAAGGGAAAACGCCTGTCTTCTATCTATATATTTAATCTATATCTATATGTATGTGTGTGTGTGTGTGTGTGTATACATATATATATGTATATATATATATATATATATATGTATATATATATATATATATATTCAAACACATATCTATGTGTTTTTCTAGGAGGATGCAAAATTACCAGGCAGTACTTTAAGTTTTTATGGGAGAGGGGTTACTATGTAGCACTGTGGAAGGAAAAAGTCTGGCTGGAACTCCAAAGCATTGCCCCAGTAGTCACCACCTGTTCAGTTCCCCTCTGGAGAGAGCTTATGGGTTATTTGAGGGCTTTTTGTGTGCATTTGGAGAGGTCTGTTTGAATCTGTTTCTGAACTCCTATGAGTGCTTTATATCTTCTGCATTTTCTGTGGGGTGAAATAAAGGTTCAAGGCATTGCTGCCTTGAGTACCTATACAGAAGCTGGGGACTACTTTTGGAGAAATTTAGAAACCACTATGTGGTGAGTATGCCAAAGAGAATTTCTTCCCACTTCATGTGGAAGCAACAAGTCAAAGAGAAAAACAATGATCCTATTGGGGTCAGCCTCCAAGATCGTATCTGTTCTATATTAGCCCCAGCTTTCCTGGTCACCTGTTATTACCTTGGGATAAACATACTTGTACTATCTACCTCCCAGCATATTGATCTGAGAAAGCCACTTTATAAATAAGAGATAGTATAATCATTATTATTTTTCCCCCCTCTCCTGCTCTCTGCCCCTTTCTATACACCACTTACTCTTCAAACCTCCCTCTATGCCTCTGCAGCTTTTGAAATATCTGACATATGAGAACTGATTACAACTGACATCTGCCTATGGCAAAGACATTATTCTCTCACTAGTGTTGTCCAAATATAAGAACTCCATAATAAACTCTGCTTTTAAAGGGAAAACCCTTGTCTTTTATCTATATGTCTAATCTGTGTCTCTATATGTTACACACACATATTATTTAACACATTTGAATGATTGGATACCAAGCACAATGTTTTGAAATAAAATTCAGATTTCATTAAATGTCTCAAAACATTTAAAAAGTTACTTTATGTAAAGAAAAACTTATGGATATTATTATATATATGCATTGATATATAATGTTAAATAATGACAATAATAAAAGTAGTTGTCAGCATTTATGTAGTACTTTAAAGTTTGCAAAGAGCTTTAATCATATTTTCTCATTTTATTCTCACAACAACCCTATGAATTAGGTGCAAATATTATCATTTACATTTTACAGATGAAGAGAATGAGGCAGACAGAGGTTAAATGACTTGCCCAGGATTATGCAGCTAGTAAGTGTCTGAGGCAGAATTTGACCTCTAACTCTAGGTCCAATGCTCTACCTTCTTTGCCACCTAACTACTTAGAATAGTGAAATTTTAAAAGACTTAGGAAGCCTATCTGCCCGCCTTCTCCCCCCCTGCACTAGTGAGTAAAGCATCCTCTGACCCCACCTTTCATGCAGCCCTTCTTCAACCACAGCAGCCTCAGGAATGCCTGCTTCAGGTTTTTGTTTTGCAGAATGAGGATAAATGTGTGCACAGAGGGATAGACAGGGATAGCCAACTCTATAATCATTATCAGCTTGGCATCTTGCAGGAAAGTGATTGCTGTCCCAATCAAGAGAATTACAGAATGAAAGACAAAGAGTAAAAGGAAAGAAAACATTATAATGGTGGCTCTCACATGGGCCTTAGTGCTCACATCTCTGGGAGCAGTGACATGGTGCTGCATCATCCTGGTATGCCTCCTCAAGGAGAGAATGAGTAAGAGACAGGAGAACAGGAATATAATGAAAGGTATCAGTAACAACAGGAGACTGAGAAGGTAGAAGACATACAATTCTCTTTCCTTTCTTCTGACATTTTCAGTGTAGTTTGTAATGAGTCTCATTTTTAGGAGGCCAGAATATATATCGAATTTTCTGACGTGTAACACTATATTAAAGAAAAAGAAGAGCCCACAGGTCAGCAGAATGCAGGCAACCACCTGGGAAATCCTCCTCTTAAGCCGGAGGAAAGCATGATGTGAGAAAATGGCAATCTTCAGGCAGTAGAAGACACTGAGGCAAGTGGACAGCCAGATGCTAAAATAATTACTAAGAGTCCAGCCAGTTTCACGAATTTGACTTATTGTCATTCCATAATAGAAATCAGGATAGAGCACCAAAACAGTGGCATCAAAAATGACCACACATTGCAGGAAGATCCTGGAGAAGGCTAGATTCATAATGATGAAGTCAGGTAAGGAAATCTTGCTCCTCTTGATCCAGTGGATGCAATTGATGAGCCCAAGAAAGCCATTCCCCAAAATCCCCAGAACGAACTGACTGAAGGCCATGAACAAAAAAAAGATTTGGAGTGAGGTCAGCATGTCTGTGGATGGATTTCCTCCCTTGGTAATGTCTCTGTTATCTCCAGCCTTTCTGCTGTTCTACAGCTTTTCTGATCTGAGGTAAGTAAGCACCTGCTTTTTCACCTTGTCAGTAATACCTTTTGTCCTTCTCTGACTTGCTTGTGCTCCTGTATCTGTCCAGAGTGCTCAGAAATTCATGAGGGTCAGTCTTATAATTGCTCCTTCCAATTTAGTCTGCCGTCATTCTCTAGTTCAGACCCCAGGCTTGGAGTTTTCTCAATTACTTGGGTAATAAACATCATTTCATGGATAAAATCCCAACCAATAGTGGTTGAAAGACCTTCACTAAGATGCAAATAGTTACAGGATTTAGTATCACACAGAGAAGGGAGGGGTGAAGCATGAAGGGACTGGATGGAAGGGCTATTTTGAAGAGTGACTCTCCCTAAACCACTAAAAAAAATGCATGTGTGTGCATGTGTGCATGTGTGCATATATGTGTGTGTGTGTGTGTGTGTGTGTGTGTGTGTGTGTGTGTGTGTGTGTGTGTGTGTATACCTATCTATTGAACTATCTATTCTCTGTTTCATTTTCACACACCTCTCCGGTGGATTGTACTTTCTGGTATACCAAAGGCTAATTCCATGCTTTTTGTGTGGGCCAACCCAGTCTTGAGGACAGTTTCATTACTATTTAGGAAAAAACTAGCCTTACCTATGTGCAGGGATCTTACAATATATGTTACTTCAACCATATAAGGCAAACATCACTTCCTTCCCTTCGCAATACACCTCCCACACCAATCACACTCTTAGTAATATCACTTGTAAGGTTCCACCTACAGCCAAATAGATCGTCATGATAAACTCTCAGTAGTTATGCTCCCCTGGTTTCTTGACGCACTTTCCAGAATCTCTTGGTGAATCTTGACCAACACATTTCCACAAGCGATAATTTTTTTTTATGGATTTTCTTTTGACAAGAAAAAGTTGAGTCTTCAGGAGCCCTTGCTCAGCTGGTGTTTACAATTTGGGTAAACCATGGCATTCTTTTAAGCCCATTTATGAAGGAATTAATTGTATTTTCCTTTCAGTTACCAAGAACTCAAGGGTGATAAACTCTGGCTTTGTCAAGAGAGGAAGGCTCATTTTACTTGTTTCTCCGTTTTCTGGTTGGCCTTTGCATTTTGCTTTTCCAGGAAGATTGACAGAATTGTTAATATGCAAATCATCCTGGGAAGAAAAGAGGAATTCTGTATTTATTGCACTCAGAAAATGGTTAATTAGGGTAGTTTGAGTTCAGTGTTATTATATGCAGTAGGCAGCACTTGGTTCCACAACGAGTGGTTTTCATTCACTTCCTTTCCTTTTCCTTTGTGGTATGTGTTCTGGTGTATTCCCCTCACTGTATTAGAACAGCTATGGCTCATGAAGCCTAATTGCCAGGCAGAACTAGGAAGTGAATCTTTCAGCTCAGCAGAACGGCTGTGGGTTATGCTGATCACAGAGAAGAAACTGTATTGGTCAAGGCTGGTGAGATCAGGAATCCTTCACCTCTAGTCTTTCATCTTGCATCCTTCCTCACTGTTGACTATTAGCACCCAGACCCTGATTTAGCTCTAGCCCATCTCGGACTTCATTTTGCTGCTGTTTCCCAGAAGAGGTCACTGTGGTTGGCTCAAAAACTCCACCTCCTTTGCCCCCATTTTAGTTTGCTTGGAGATAACGAGATATGTACCTGAGGATTTCGGTCTAGGGCAAAAGTACTGATTCCATGTGGTTACTTTCTGTGCAATGCTAAAAAGTAAAGCTGAAAGTAGCAATTTGAAGAGGAATTCATGAGATACTCCAAGCTTTCAGGCAAGCCTGGAAGGTCATCTCCTAGCCAGCTAAATTAAGTAACTGCTAAATTGAACCCACTGTAATGGTAATAAAAGTGGGAAAAAGCAGAGAGTGGAGTAGATTCACCATTATTCTAGTGGCTTCTCTGGGAAGCCAGCATTCATTCACTCTTTGTTAGTGTTTTTTTTTTTTCCAGTAATTCAAGCCAGGGAAAGGAAATGCCTCTAGCTCTTCTAAGGCTTATAGTTAGTGTCCTAAAACTAACTGGTGCTGTTACCACTGACCTTATACTGCTGATGCTGTCCTTTTCTTTTTTTTTTGGCTAGGCAATGGGGTTAAGTGACTTGCCCAGGGTCACACAGCTAGTGAGTGCCGTGTCTGAGGTTGGATTTGAACTCAGGTCCTCCTGACTCCAGGTCTGGTGCTCTATCCACTGCGCCACCCAGCTGCCCCTGCTGATGCTGTCTTCCCACTGCATTCTAATTCCCACTCTTCACTCATTTCTCTCTCTCCAGAGAGATTTAAAGAAATTCTAGCAATATTGGACAATTCCATCATTGGTCCTGATGTCACATTAAGAGCCTTCTCTCTTATACTGGCCAAAAATACAAACCACAGGGTCTTTAGGAACTTAGACCCCCTTTCTTGACAACTAGCCCAAACCTTCTCAGACTGTGATATTTATCCTGAGGATTCAAAATGTTGAAGTCCCTTACAAAATCTGCTGAACAGCAGTAACTAAGATCAGTGACCCAGCATTCCGAGGAATCACTTTAGCGTTCCATCACCCATACGTACAATAGACATAGCATAATGAAAAGCATCACATGACTGGTTGTTTCAGGATTCACAGATCTAAATGCCATGCAAGATCTATGTCACATATGTCATAGCAGAGCATGCATTTAACACAGCAAACATGCTCAACAGCAAGTAAAATTAAAGCACTAGTGACTTCAGTAGGTTCACCGAATAACACAATAGGCAAAATACCAATATTAGCTTCAAGAAACAAACAGCAAAACTATGCATAGTCAACAGATTAATGCAGCTACAATACATGCATCAATGGACCCACAGAATTATATTCACTTCCCACATCTCTTTGGGAACCATTATCATTATTTTATGACTACATTTGTAACCAATCATTTTCCTGGTTTCACCTGGGAAAAATGTAAGTTAGTGTAGTTACTGATTGGATGCTCCTAGATCTCCTACGACGTGTTGGCTTATCTGCCTCTGTGCTAGTAGAGAAAGTGGGCTCATCATAATCCTCCTCAGAGTTATAGCTTTGCCTCCCTAGACCTGAATAGGTTGGCGATCTCAGGCTGGTTAACAGTGCTGCTGTGCTCTGAGAAATGGTAGTCATAAAAGGCATTGCCTTTGAGTTTAGTACTCTTCTGTTATTTGATATAGATGTTGGAGTACAATAAACACCCAGAACCTTCTTCACTTGAAAAATCTGTTTCTGATCCATGTTCTAGGTTAGGCAGTCTTGGTGTGATTGGCCAGTGTTCTTTCTTTTTCTTTTTGTTTAGAGTCTCCTGAGGTCAGTCTTCCCTTGTACAGTATCCCTACTAACTCACCAATGAACAATTTTAGTGAATTGGTTTTGAAGGCCTGGATACTGGACTGACTGGAGATAAAAACTTGCATGGAATCCACTCCTGTGTGTCTTGATTGCTCTATTTCCTCACCTTTTGAAGCTTATAAGGTAACCTTAATACTCAGAAAGTAAGCTCTTTTACTTGGAAGCAAGAAAGAACGCACACAACGGAGACAGAAGCCATAGCTGAGCCAGGGGCTCTCAGCTTTGTGCCCCTTCCCTACCCAGCTGCACTTAGTGGATTGTCCTCCTTCTGCCATGCTAGCAAGTCTGGGAAAGAGCCCTCACCAAGTCTGGTGCCTTTTAAAATGCATCACAGTCCTGGCTTCATAGTCAGTCAAGGAGGTTCTCTTCATCATGTGGCTAGCAAAATAGAATCAGTTACAGAATGTCCCCATAAGCTCCAAATCTCTCTCAGCCACCTTCATTATATACCATTTTGCTTTCTAGAAGCCAGCTTCCTTGCTTAATTTCCTAAGCTGAGCACACTGATGCTTACTCGCCAGCCTTCCATTTCACAGCTACTTGATTATGTCGTGCCTATTGGTTGCACCTTGTTTATACCTTCATCTTCTAGACACTGGTTCCTCTCTGTGCGTTTTGACCCTTTGCATTGTATATTGAGGCTTCACCTCATACACTAAATTAGGGCCAGGTTGGGGTACAACTCAGTTGAATCCTCAGATCAAATTTTGCAGATTTCCTACAATAATGAAGTTTATTTCTGTTGAAGGCCACTCAGAGCCTTTGTCTGCTATTGATAATGAATGAGCCAAGACCCTTTGCAGTCTGGGGATGGGATATAGTAAAGCTGGATAATTGTAGACTTAGGCAACTGAGATCTCAAGACAACTGGTAAGCAATAGTTTCTGCCCTAATAATTGAAAATACTTGGTTTAGAAGGCTGATTTTTTTTTTGAGAGAAGTGAAGTCAGCTCAATTTCTAGAAATCCTCTAGGGATATATTTCCATCGAGAAGCAAACAAGATAAAGGTTCCCAACAGAGGCATACTTTACTTAGGATAACATGTGGGGCTGAACAAGAGAATTCCTCTCTACTCCTAAGTGCGTAAAGACAAACTCGGTGTGTAAACTTGTGGGCTTTTTTTCTTCAGAAAATATTTCCCCTTATTATTCTGTACTTGATGAACACCAACAAACATGTCCGCATACAAAGGAGAACCAAAAGACAGGATTGTATGTGAAACAGAAAATTTGATTACAACAAAGCATTTGTATTTTTTAAAACCATAAAATGAATTCAACATGTTAGTTTCAAAGCTGTCTTCTCTGTCTTCCTCTCTACTTCCTTCTGTTCTCTTTCTTGTGTTTAAAACAAATGCTTCAATAACACTTGTTTTGGGCAGAATTTCCACTGGCCCCTCTGGTCCCTAGATCTCTTATTCTCCAACTTAAGAAAGCATAACCAAAAGCTTCTATTGTAACAGATATAAATAGTCCACAAAAACAAATCCACACACTGGCCATGTCCAAAATGTATGGTTCGTTATGTTCCTCTATTCCATAACCTCTAGTAGGTAGGTAGCATGCTTCCTCATTGCAGTCAC